AGCATTTTGTCATATTTCTGGCAAGCTTACTCATGATTGGTTTGCTATATATTAGGCTGTTATGAAGATAATAGCAAACTAAAAATCCTTCCTTCATGTACAAATTAATTACATTCATATGCAATTCACATCATTGTGACTCACTTTGCATATTGATGCTTTCAGAAGTTAAAATAGAGCTGATGCACCTTCCCTTTAATAATTCACAGCTTGCACTACAGAGTCTTCATTGCTGGAGCCCACAGCCACTACCTGCCATGGAAGAGCAGTAATTTGGCAGAAAGACAGAGGTAGACCTGTAGCTTTTGTGAATCCTGAAAGTTTTAAGTAGGGTTATTTTTTTTTAAAAAATCCTGTTTTTAATAATTTTGTTTAAAAACATAGAGAACCTGGATGCTTTGTTGTATATGTTCTGCTTTACAAGGGTGACTTCTGGTTTCTCCAAATGGTGACACTTCCATTGAGTTCTGAGACTGGAAATATTAGATTCTAGAAGTTATATGTACTGTGTTGTCAAGTCCCAATATGAAAGGATGTGGGGAATTACAAGATATCAAAATTTGTTAACAAAATATTTAGAATTGGAGGATAAAATCTTGAATTTCTGAATTTTTGCAGTAGTTACCTCATCCTTATTTCATAGGTAAAAATAAAATATAATATACAATGTATATTATATTTATACATATGCTGGCCTAAGGAATTTCTAAGAAATAACATTTCAGCTTTTAGATTTGACTTTTCTATCTCTAATAAAATAGCAACATGTTAAATCAAGAAGCAAAGCACTAAATAATTAATTTCAAATCTTTAGTCTTATATTATTTTAAATTTAGGAGAAAAGTTATAAACTCTTTTGGGTTTTCAAATATCTATTTCTGTGTGCATTTTATAAATAGAAGCAAATGGTATAACTCCCTCTTGCAGTTTCTTGAGATACGGATCAAGTCAGTTGCAATATAAATTTAAAGGGTATTATTTACTTTTGGACAAACTTTAGTGGAGAGGTTTTATTTATTTATTTTTTTATTTACTTTTTTTTTTTTTTTTTTTTCTGGTACTGGGAATTGAACTCACAACCTCATGCTTACCAGGCAGTTGCTGCTCCGCTGAGCTAAATCCCCTGCCCCTAGTGGAGAAGTTTTAGATATGTACACTTGATCGCAAAGTAACAAGGATTCTAGGTTCATTTTCATAAGCATTTGTACAAATACATTCTTCTGGACTGAAGGAAGGCTTGCTTATCTAGTAATGAGAGCTTCCCAAGCAATCCTGGAGATAGTGTAGACTGAGATACAAAATAAAAACTGTTCCTGGAGTTGGAAGTGTAACTCTTATGTACCAGGTTCAAGTCCCTGAGTTCCATCCCTAACACAGCAAAAAGAATAAAAAGCATTTTGTTCTAAATGCATTTTGCCACTCAACACTTCAAGCCATCCAGAAGACAAAGGTTCTATTTATTTCTCTACTTCTGACAGCTGTCAACTTAAATTAGGCAAGTTTACTCTCATGAAAGAGAGTCTCAGCTAGGGACAGATCAATAAAAGATTGTCCTTAATTAACTCTTATTTTTTCTTCTCAGAAACCATCCTGAAGTCCAGTTTTCATTTCCATCTTCAATACGTAGATACTAATATTCTGCTCTGAGTTAGGGTCACGTCATGGCTTTGCTATTACACAAACAAATCTATGACTCCCAAATTAGCTTTGCAACGTGCACATTAGTTAATTTCCCTAAACTTGGTTTCCATTTCAGTTCTACAAATTCCGGACAATAATCCCTACATAATGGAAGTATTGGGAGAATCAAATAAAATTGTATTTGTATAATCCAATATCACCCAAGCTGCAGTAGGGTCACCTCCATAGTTTTTCCACTATTCATTAGGTCCTTTTCCTCTATGGGCCAGATAACAAGACGGCCTCTGTCCTATTTTTCTGCCCTTACAGGAATTCTTACAGGGCAAAATGCCAAGGGTCATGTCCATAATTAGAGATTTAATGAGACCAATGATGGCTGTTAGGACACCCAAGAGCTTGCACAAACTTAATCTTGGACTTGAATTCTTATTTTACTACGAGGCTAAGATGCAGTGTCCTCTACAATGTGCCTCCCTGAGCTCCTCTCATATCCTCTAGGGGAAGGCAGTACTCTCTTTGGATTGAGAACTGTCAGTGGTGCACACTGAGTGTAGGTGAAGAAGATGATGCTGTTGATACAGCTAGTCGGCTTTGCCTTAGGGCCTGGACATCACCTTCCCAGTGGTTAGGAGGAGCCATGCAACTATACGCTCAAAGGTGCTTTCAGACCAGATCCTCCCCTGAATTCTGTGGATGTACAATTGAAGGAGCAATGCAGGCTCCACTAAATAGGTATTTAGACATGGTGACACATTCTTGGTTACCATTTTGGGGCCTATTTTAACCCCTGCCATCTGGTTACCCTTGCTACAAAACTCCAGTCAGAGGAAGATATTAGGGACTCTCAACAAATTCCTTTACAAAAATAGAATGAGAAATAGTGGCTACTTGTTTTTGACTGAGGGTGTGGTTTGGTCTATTATCAGAATTTTGGCCCCCGTATGCTCTGAAGAGCCACTGGGGAAGTGCAGAGAACAGGGAATGCAGGTGCGGATTAACCTGCATCTCCATTTGTATGTACCCGACACCTGCTCCAGACTTCTCATGTGAAGCAAATGGTACAGCAGGAGGGACTTCATATATTTTGTGCTGTAGCTTTTTTCTTCTTTTTAAGAAAATACATTGCTTAGTAAATGGATGTACCTTGAGACCATATTCTTAAGTGAAATAAGTTGGACACACATGAGCAAATATCGCATTGTTTCTCTGGTGTGAGAAACCGAAAGTGTAAATAAGGACCAAAATGTATACTAGATACTGTGAAACAGGATGACAGTGTTCACATGGGAAGGGGAACCAGGGAGGGGTGAGTGGGAAAGGAAGGAAGGGAAAAGCACAAAACAAGAAAAAAGGAAAAATGGAAACACAGCTTTCTTTCCTTGTCTTCTGTAGACCAAACACCATGTTCCAAATCTGTAACTTCTGTCTTGCTCTATATCATCGCATAGCAAAAAGGACTAGCTAGAATCCTGTTAGGTTGCTGAAGATCTGGAAAACATTTTGCTTGAGGATTAAAACATGTTTGGCAAAGGAATGTCCAAATTTTTAAACCTCCTTCCTGGATACTAACTTCTTCAACTACACAAGAGCACTCATTCTAAAAGAGGAATTTCAGGCTGCACCCTTTCATTCTTCTTGTTTGCAAAGGGGCTTTCCTCAGCATCTCTCATATCAAAGCACACAGTAGACTCTTTGCCTTAAAATTAAGTGCCAGCGTGAGAATCTATCTTAATGCTAAAGAAATGGAAATAAGGCCAAGTTAGGTGATAACATCAAAATAGACAGTGATATTTTGGCCAAATAGTTGGAATTCTCATTGTCTTTATTTGTTGACTTTTATGTTCCGGTGCAACCAAGAAGATACCCTTTTTCTGTACCTGCTCTCCTGCTGAGGTTTACTTCATAACGTGTATTGGTTCTTTCCCATATCTCGATTTTCATGCTGCGTTGGAAATTCACATACACCTCAAATTCTAGTATTCTGACCTGCACAGGGACTCACAGTATCACTACAAGTCACCAAGCCTTCAGATTTTTGCTTGTGGTTGCAGTAAATCTTCTCACCCAATTTTGTTGTTCCTGTAAAACTTCACATCTAAAAAAGAACACCCTTAATAAAATCTGGAAGTATGTGAAAACACACCTAATTTTATGAAAGTAATCTTAAATCTGTAAGAATCTTTAAAAGATCTCATCTCTGCGTTTAGACTTCCTTGTGTTCTGACAGATGCAGAGAATGTTGGCTTGGTCGGCCTTCGTATTGGCAGTTTCTGCATCACAGATTCAACCACTGCAGACGGGCAGATTGAAAACGTGTGAAAAAACTGCATCTGTACCAGAATTGGACAGATGTTTTTCCTTGTCTTTATGCTCTTACTCATAAGGAATAACAACTATTTATGTAGTGTTTACTTTGCATTTAGTTTTATAGTAAGTGCAAGATATTTTAATGTAAAAGGTAAAATAGGCAAGGGACTTAAGCAGACACTATGACATTTTATAGATATGATTTTAGAATCTATGATTGTTGGTATCTGTAGAAGTACTGGAACAAATCCCATGCAGGCACTAAGGAGTAACCACTGTATATATCTGTGTATAGGTATATATCTGTGTATATGTTTGTTCACATGTTGTTTATATACATTTATATTTCAATATACATATATTAGCATATGACATTATAGTATAATATAAATGTATTGAAGGTATATATATGCATTCAGTCACATGTGAATATGTAGGTAGATATATGTATACTATATATAAGCATATATACAAATGTCTATGTAATATATCCATGTGGATATAAAGGTACAAATAGAGAAGATACTATGTGTGTTAGTACCCACGTCTATGTACATCTCCTACCACAGGTATAGACATCGATATAATCATGTAATCTTAACAGCATTTCCAAGGCTTTTGAAGGAGTATTTCTCTAATGTGAGCAATTCTTCCTCCTGGTGAACTTACTGGCTGTGTAGGTGTGCACATCACAGTGGTGGGGGAGGGATTACTCAAGCCAGCAAATCCATAAAACCTGCTTCAATTTGCAAGGTGGACCTCAAAACAAAAATGTGACTGGTTCCAAATGTTCGTCATGTTACAATTGAGAAACGCTGCCCTTCCTGTTTCTTTTCAAATACCAGCCACAGTGGAATGCCCTCCTGTGTGCCCTGGTTACCCATGGTTAGACAAATACAACAGTTCAAGAATGGTTGCAGACTGTATTCAGCCTATAGCAGAGAATCACTTATATCAACCCAGGTAACTTTTCACAGGTATTAGTCAGGGTGACATCACCCAGAAAGGATGGTTGTTGGTTGTCTAGCATCAGACACAAATCTCTTATGCAAGGAAAGAGGGCTAAAATGTTTTCTGTTGATCTACAACTGAAGGGGCCATTTCAAGGATCCATATTTATCACCAGGAAGGTACAGTTGTGCTACTCTCTGCTTCATGCATTATGCTACCTTAATTATGACTCCGTTTTTGACAATAAGGTGAAAGTTATTATGTGAGTTCAACTGGGAACATATTTGTTCCTCCTTCTAGTGAGCTTTTAACAATTACTTGATTGAAGAGCTGAGCTGTAGGTAGCTGTAATTTTGCAGACTCGTTATATTATTTCTGGCATACTTAAGTGTTGACTCATTTTGTACTGTCTGAAAGCTGAAAAGAAATCTTTGGGGAAAGGCTAAAAATATCCTTCAGCTTTCTTTCTATTGCTCCAATTTTATGTTTCTGATGTATGCTTAAAATCATATTCTGTGCACACAAAAAAATCTCAAAAATCTTTCACAAAAAAAAACCTTTTCTTCCTAGGTACTCTCAGATCTTGTGACATTAGATAGTATACAGGAGAAGCTTTCATACTCAGTCATTTATCAGATCTAATCTGAGTGTAAAGTGGGGTTTAATTTATAGGATGATGTGGTTTCTCACACCAGAAAATATAGTAACTCTTCTACTTCTGAGGTTAATGGCGTCTAGCTTAAAGTGTAAAGATAATTACAAAGAACGTGCTTCAGGTGATAAAGTCATTTTGACAATCCTAGATTATTGATAGATTTTTAACTATTTCTCATTCCACCAGAGGTGACTGTATGCTTCTTACTAAACAATTCAAAAGCCTGCTGTTGTTATTAAATTAATTTCCATTGTGAGCAATACCTTTAACCTACTGATACCCCAAGTACTTGAAAGCTCATGACTCATTCTAACACCTCTGAAATAAAAGCAAAGTCTAGGTTATTGTTTTTCTCTGTCCATGAAATATAAGAATGTCAAGAAATACAAATATTTATTGGCTCATTTGTCTTGTTTATTCACTTAACACTTTGTGACACTAAGTTATTTTAAAATTTCAGGCATATGTTATTTTGTTTTAGTTGATAGATTACCAGGATAAGGTCATAATCCACACAAAAGTGAATAGTTTAAACTTAACAAATTAAGGAGTATTAGTGGTAACCTAAAAAACACAGAGAAATGGGTTTAATGGCAAGTAACTTTTTGTGATAATTTTCTGTGTTTCTTCTAGAAATACCTACATATTTGCTGAATTATTATATATAATTTATATGATTAACACATACAGATTATATTTATATATAGTGTTTATAAATGTGTCTATAAACTAATGGACAAAAGAAAAAATATGCCCAAAATACTCATGACCATTTACCTTTAATGCTGAATTGATCAATTCCACAAACCTCTTTTTTTCAAATTGGAGTGCTGCACTACTTTGCATGTATTTAGTTTCAAAATTTTAAGTTTCTATAAAGTTACTATAATTCAAACAATGCCAAACATCCATATGGAAACTAAAAATTTAGTCACATATCCAGATGTTTTACTTTATTAAAGCACACCATTTTTACCTTAGGTTCTCATTTTGTCAAGAACACTGTATTAATCTCCAAGAATCTATTCTTAGAAACCAATTCTTCATGGAGGGCTAAGTTATAATCTAATAGGTCAGATATGTATTCTTTTGTCTCTTACATATAAACTGAATTGTAAACTATTCTGTGCCACCCATGATAAAGACAATCTCAATATTTAAAGATGAGGAATCTTAAACTTCTCTAGGCTTTAAGTCCTAATTTATAAAATGAAGGTAACTTTAAGAAGAATTATATAGGATGGTATCCACTTATGTTTGGCACTTTTATAAGGAGAGAAGGAGGACAAAAAGTAGAGAGGTTGGAAAAAGTTAAGTAGCATTTAAATGAAAATAAACAGAGCGAATACATCAATCTTATGGAACTATTACCAGGCACCTGTATGTGGCCATGGGAGCGCTTGTGCTCACGATAATAATACTAAGGCTTTGAGAATTGAAATAAGTTGCAAGTTTGCGATTTTGATTCCTGGTCAAAAATAAAACAAAAAGAGAGAATTAAAATAAGTTGTTAGATTCATTTTCCTTTTATAGGTAAAATATAATGTTCATTATAGTGTATATATATATATAATCATTACAACTTATAATCATTACTAACTTTCATTTTGACTTTCACATAAGGGAAAATTTGAATGAGATGGGAAAGTTGAAAATTAGGATAAAAAGGGTCCAATGGAGAGAACCTTAAGAATAGAAAGGGTAAACTATTAAGATTTATAAACAAAAAGAAAACTATGAGAAACAGTGTAAGAAGACAGTTACAGAAGATGATATACAATATAGAAAAAAATTTCATTTGACGGTAGTTAAAAAGTGTGATTGAATTTTCCAGTACATTAGCTCAGGATAGAGTTAGAATTAGAATATATAAATAAAGCACTTAGCATACTCATAAAGGTAAAATATTAACCAAATCCACTGTAGACATGCAATATTATAACCATTGTCATATACTTGCCCTGTATAAGACAAGGCACAGTTGGTAAGCAAAGGAAAATTTGTTACTATTTTTGAATATATATGATCAATAAAAACCACTGACTAGCTGACCAAGAAATCACCTTAAAATGTTTTTCATAAATGTGTTATAGTAGTAGTATTAATTGAAGAAATCAGAATGACAAGTGTTTGCATTTTTGAAGGCTTCAATCTGGGATTATAACTAACATCAATTTAGTAGCATGTTTTAGAAATGAACTACCATATCACAAGTCATGTAGGAGACATGAGTATGCATGTTTGAAAATATGTGTTCTAGACACAATGCTGTAAAAGTACAAGTTGAAACTCAGGATGGACACTACATTGAGGAAAGAGGGATGTCAAACTGAGAAACTGTTGTCAGAAACTGTAAATGCCCAATTTTATGTGAAAAGAAAGAAGGAAAAACAAAAAAAAAGAGCTGTCACAAAGCAATAAAGCCAGGTTAGAGCTGTGTCGCAAAAATCGGCTAAAGAAGTGGACGGTTGATCGTCAAATATTTCATGCCCATGAGGTACAGTGGTACCTGACAGTTACTGGACATGGCTCATATTTATCCTAACAGCAACAGAGGTAAGGACAGAAAGTAAAACTGTGGAGAAGGTAGGTGGGGAGAAAGTAGCAAGGAACAGACCGGGACTCCCCCAAATCTGCCTCAAATCATTGATTTATCTGAGAGAAACATTTCCCTGACCCAAAATAAAATGTGGAAAACAAATCTAAAGCTCCATAAAAAGAAATAAAAAGATTTTAAGAATGTTTATTTGCCACTCAAAGGGTGATAAATTTCTTTCCAAATAAAATTAGGGTAATGTAAAGTGAATTATTTTACTTTATTTTATTTTATTTTCAGAAATTTTAAATTAATGCTAAATTTTCTTTTATAAACATTATTGGTCAATAGGATTCAAAGTTATGTAGATTCACAAAAGGAAAATACTATGATTATAGATAATAGTAAGACAGTGTCTAGAAGGGGTAGTTTGTTACTTTTAAGTTTTCATAAAATAGAATATAATATTAGAGTAAATAATGGATATTCATTTGGAAAAGTTACTTAATATATGTGTTTAAGCAGGTGAAAAGGAGTGACATAGAGACAAAATATAGAAATATTACCCTTAGAAAAAACAGCACTTAGTCATTTGAAGCAGGAAACCAATGGAACTGATGCCACACCTTAGCAGATTTCTGGTATTTCTACAAGGAATTTTCTATTTTCTTGATATTCAGTCAGAAATATTACAACAGTGACTCTGCATATGTACCAGTGAAAGATGGATGCTCTGGTATGAGTGTATTACTGTTAGTAATATAGAATTATGTTAATTAAAGTACATTAAATGATCAAGCATTCACTCTCAGCAGCATATGTTGCTTTCTCCATTTAAACTGTTTTTAAATGTAGTGGTTTCTAGCTATGTTTGTATTGTTCAATCTTTCAAGCCACTAAGTGTCGTAAGTAGCCTGGCATATGGTAGGTGCTCAGTAAATATTGTGCTGAATTATTGAAAAAAAACCTGTAAATAGTTCAATGCAAGGCAACAAGTTTTGCATTTGTGCCCATCAATTTACTTACATGTTTGCAATATTCTTAATGACTTTTCAATCATCCTATTTTACCTTCCAAGCAAGAACACATGCTAAAGGGATTTTGCTATCTCAACCCCCCATTATTTATTTGCAGTTTAAATTATGTACTGAATATAAGACTTTTTCTGCTTGGTGTGAAAAAGTTATCCCCCTTTATGTGGCTAGGATGCACTAGCTAGAATTTATGTGTTTCACAACAAATAGTTTGTCCCTTTCTCTGATTAAATGAGCCAATAAAAATATTATTGTCATCACTCTTCTTAAGTTGCAGTTGAAATGTAAATCATGCTGTCTCTTTTTCCTGGAATGGCCATACCATTTTCTAAATAAATACCTCTCTTCAGGTGGGAATAGTAGAAAGTCAGACATAGTAGAAGACAGACATTCTGAGTCTACACTGTGAAACCAAAGATGGAAGTTAAACAGCAGTCAATCTATTCAGAACAACCCCTTACCTAGACTACAGTTACTCAAAACATTAAAAAAGAATTCATTGTTGCAGTTTTTCTGTAGTCATTTTTTCATTTGACAGCTTAAATACAACACACATTCAACTTTTAGATTTTGCCTAATTTTATCTAATTTCAGTTTTAAAAGGTGCACTATTCAGATAAAAATATTTTCTATATTTTTTAGTCACAACATCTGCATAAATTAGATTTCTGTACACCTAAAACTCATACTCATGTCCGTATAGATGAAGTGAAATGCAGAATTGAATAACTGCTGTATTTGTATTTATAAAATTCTCAACTCTACTCAGTCTTTTTCCTCATAAACCATATCTAAATATCTCACAGCCAAGATAAAAGTCTAAATTCTCCACTTCACATCACTGTCTGAATAGATATGTCTCATACATGTGTACTAATTGTAAAGATCCAGAATTTAATTAAAAGGCACAGTAAAATTTAAATTAAGTTATACTTTCAGATTACATATTCCTGG